TGGGAGGGTTGTGGTTTTTCCTCCCCTAATGTTGCAAACCTTATTCTTGACAGATCGTCGCAATGGGGCAGGCAATAAGTATGTACTTTGCTGTTTCATCATTTTCCAAACAGAGGAGACACACTGCCATCCGACAGTCTGAGTATCTGCATATGATGATTCAAATGACAGTGACCTGTAAAAAGGCCCGTTAGACATCGTAGTTGATCCCTTCGGTAGTCCAACAACTGTTTGGTATCAGGCTTCGAAGGGTGAATAAACGCCTTGGAGTGAGCCAATCCTGGAAGATTCTGCCAGAAGTCCATTCATCTTTTTGCCATCCACGTGTTCAATCTTTGTTTGGCAAAGCCTAAAACGATGCCAATGAGAGGTTCTGGTTCGATGAAGCTGCTTGCCGCACCCTCCTTTGCAAGGGAGTCAGCAGCCTTATTGCCTTCCAGGCCAGTATGGCCAGGAATGCAGACCAGAGAGAATCTGTTAAGTCTTCCTATCGAAGACAGTCGTTTTTGGCAATTTGCTACCAATTTAGATGTTGCTTGGTAGGAGCCAAGAGCTTCCAACGCCGCTTGACTGCCCGAAAATATTTATATTGACTTGTGTATGAGGTTGGATTCTTCCAATCTCTCCGCATACAATTCAATAGCGTAAATTTCCGCTTGAAATACAGTCGCCTAGGTTCCTAGGCAGGTTGATATCTCTGTTCTGGGTCTGCGACTGAAAACACCTGCACCCGAACCATAGGAACTGCAAGGACGTAGGTAGGTATCTGGAAGTCTCAGTAATGATTGACAGAGTGACAAATGATAATTATTCTAGTAAAAGACTCGACCTCAATACTGGATGAAAAACTGTACTTACGAGTAGTTCATTCCAGTAACATTTCATTGTGAGAAACTATTGTAATGAGTGATTTTTTTGCTGGTATCTTTTTGGCAACACTGTTTTTGACAGATCACGCGTGAATCGTGTCTTGTGTCTTTGTCAAACTTGTTCAGTTTGGTCTATAATTTAACCATGAATCGACTTACGAATGAACAACGTTTGCAAATTATCGAATTTTATTATCAAAAGTCATGCTCGGTGAAGAAAGTGCATCGTGCACTTCTTCCAATTTATGGACAGTTTCGTCGGCCTACTGAGGGAGCTATTCGGAAGCTTGTGACTAAATTTCGAACCCAGTTTACATTATTGGACATTTACCGATGCATCCCGAAAAAGTCACTGTTTGGTGTGGATTATGGGTCGGTGGCATCATCGGGCCGTACTTCTTCAAAGACGACAATGGCCGAAATATTATTGTGAATGGCAGCGCTACCGTGTGATGATTGATGACTTTTTGTTGCCCAAAATGGAAGAATTGGACATGCCTGACATGTGGTTTCAACAAGACGTGCCACATGCCACACGGTACGCGAAACAATGGCCCAATTAAGAGCCGAATTCGGTGAACAGTTTATCTCACATTTGGGGCCCGTCAATTGGCCGCCTAGATCGTGTGATTTAACGCATTTGGATTGTTTCTTATGGGGTCATGTTGAGGCTCATTTCTACAGGGATAAACCAGCAACGACTAACGCTCTGGAAGCCAATATTGAAGCATTTATACGTGAAATACCGGTCGATATGTTAGAGAGAGAGTGTGCCAAAATTGGACTTTGTGCATGGGCCATCTGAAGCGGAGCCGCGGACATAATTCGCATGAAATCGTCTTCAAACAATAAATTAAAGTGATCGTTCTATCGATTCCAATAAAGATTTCATTAAGTTTTTTAAAATTTTTTGTGTTGTTTTGAAAATCAAATCCTATACCTCTTAAAAAATCACCCATTATAATGAAACATGTGGTCCAGTTTTGTAAGCTGTTTTTTCTGATTTTGAAACTATACTCTTTCAGCTTTCTTGGATGGGTTTTGATTAGAACGTTCCATTCAACAGTTTCTATTTTTGTGTTTTTTTTTGTATTGCATACCAAAATTTCTAATACTTCATATATACCAGATGATTCAAAAAATGTATATTTCTTGATTTGAAAGGTATTATTCAAAAATATTCATTGACGTATATTTTCTTGAGCAGCGGAGTAGTAAATAATTTTCAAGTGGCTGTTCTATAAGCCTTCCAGAGGATGACGTCATAATTCGATCCGATTTGATAGTGCTTTAATCAGGCACTTTATTACTTGAAGAATATGAATTAATGAAAAAGCCCTTGTGTCTCAAACAGTGTTATTATTAGTAAATCATACTCGTGAATTATACCAATGACACTCTGATGTGTTCACAAATGACGGGAGTTTCAAAATTATCGATATATGAATTCAACAATGAGAGAAAAAATGAAGCTGTGAAGTCACCATAACCATCTAGCTCTTTTTTAAGGACAAAACACAAGCACTACATAAAAATCCTTAAGGCGTTCCAAGAGCGGTGCCTGTGCGAAAGTGGCGATTCACGTTGGGTTTGAATCGCTGGATATTGAATTCATTTGGAAAAAAGTTCTCAGGAAGATTTATCCACATAAACGCAGTTCCCCAGTGAAGTTCGAGGTACAGTTACAGTCCGCCGCGTATTTCTGATATATACCGCTTTTGGTGGAATCAAATGTGCCAAGTCACTTGAACACCTCCCGTGAAAGTATCTATAAAAGAGAGACAAATCTACAACCTTTCTTCGATGTTCCAGACTATCAAGGTTGCAAGTGTACATGAGAACAATACTCAAAAGAAGGTCTGATCTGAGCTTTNTTACGTTATCTTTTTTCAAGCTCTGGCTTTGAGGAGTTAAATTTTGCTCACAGTCTAATATAAAAATATTTACGTACCGTATTGTTTTCGATTACAGAATTGTATCTTCTCTCAATGGAGTTCAGGGATCACCGTTACTGTACTTTGGAAAAGCTGCCTTACTTGGTTATACGTCTAAAAATAATCCTCGGGCTTGTGATCACGCTTATCCAGAGCATCGCCTTGTCACGGTAATGCGGGGCTCTGCCGTGATTGACCTTCTTTCCCTAGCTACTCGTGAGACTTTCATGGACAGAGTAAACTAAAAATTCTTCTTGAGGCTGAGTCTACAGAGGAGATGGATGTCGAGTTTACGACTCCAACTGACCTCCCTGTAAATTTAGATCAGGAGCGAGAGCTTCTCAACTTTCCAACTCCTGATCCAATAACTGAACCTAAAAAAACGTTTGGTGGTGCAGACAGGAAACGATTGAGCTGTCTCCTCAAGAGCGGGGTACCTTATGAAACCTCCTTGCACCAAATTTTTGAGCAACGTACGCAGAATCTGTCTCGGGTAGAGTGGCAAAGTTCCCATGAGCAGTTTAGCAAAAGTTTGCTCTCAAGTGATGATTCACCAAAACCAGAGGCGAAAAAGCCCTGCACGGGTGAATCTAAGGCAACTTCAGGTGTAGCTGACATGCAAAAACCCTCATATGGGAACGTTGCCAAGGTGGGAATCTTGCACCTTGACTATCCGACTACCTTATTAACGATGAAACAGCAGAGCATATACTTTGTGCCTGCCACGATGGGGACCGAATCAGGTTTTAGAGTTCTGCAGAGCTGTACTCTGACCATCTGACCTGAAAGACCACTCACCATACAAACTAATCGGCTTCGTTAAGAAGCTGGGTTTATTTGGTCGAGTGTGAATAGGTGTGATCCACAATAAACTCTTGCGGGCTGCGGTGGAGGGTCGAATATACCCACTCACTTCGGATCTAACCTAACATAACCTAACCTATCCAGCCGTATTTTTTATTACAACGTGCATATGTGTTTCGAAGTGGTTGAAAATGTTTCTTATTTCAAAAAGAATGTTTAGATTTGAAAATGGCATATTAATTGCCATTATCTATAATTCTTTTGGAGGTTACCAGAATGGTGATGGGAAACTGATTTACATCAGTTGTGGTGGAGGTATAGATAGATAGATATTTATTTAACTATGTAACTCATACATGATATGGTTTATAGCAAGTCAATCACAATTAATATATCATATTGAATGAATATATAATAACATCATCTAAAAGCCTTCAGGTATACAATATAAAATATATCACAATCACATAAATTGGGTAATACACGTCAAAATTGAATTTTTGTCTGAATAAACTCGTCTCTAGAATAAAAACAACGTTCGAGAAGATAATTTTTTACATTAATTTTGAACAATTTCTTGTTCATGGATGTAAATTCGCAGGAAAATTTATTATATAGTTTAAAATCTAATGAATTTTTCTCAGATTTGGACAACCTGTAACGTGGCAATACTAAATCATCAGCCGTAGCAGTTGGAATATTTTTTATTTTTTTTCAGCTACTGTACAGAAAAAATTATTAAAATCATTTGCCAACAGTATATCAGATCTTTTTGAGTTAGATTTCCTATTACATTCAAAATTAACTAAATTCCAGCACGCTTTATTCATATTTTTGGAGTTTTGTAGATAGGAATCAAATGCCTGCTTCTTGGTTAGCAGAATAGATTTTTCAGAAAGAGACTGGTGAAGGACACGCTGAAAATATTTGAGATTCTATTGAAACTACTTTTTCCTCACCAGAACCAAAGAGCTGTCTCTTGACGCGCGTTTTGCTAACCAAGTCAGAATCATCAGGAGATCGGACGGTAGCCGGTCGGTTGAGGTGGGTGGTTTGCTTTACTCACTCGATCGACCGCTGTATGAACCGGTGGTTCGAGCCGCGAGGCCGGACGATCGATTTTCAGTTGCTATCGTCTAACCCGTGTTAGGAATCACACGTTAAAACGTAAGACCTCGTTAGTCCTTAGCTAGCACAAATGAATGAACCTACTTCTTAGAGCTATGTTGATTCTTTTATATGTCGTTGTCCTATCGTTATTTAACAGGTGACTGATATCTAGTTTTTTCACGCCTTTTCTACCTGTAAAAAATGCTGATTCGACTAAAACTCAATTGCACACAAATCATTGAAACTAAACTGTATATCTGGGCCTGCCCTGTACTGTACTCACGTAAAAATTGGAAGCTTGGAATCGTGCCTGCAAACATTTCATGACTGCATCTTCCGTGAGGGGACCCTGTAGGTGAATGAGATCCTCCAAGTCAGCTCCTGCGGTGGGTAATTGCGTTTGCTGTTGTGTAACGGACACCTGAAAGACCAGATATAATGATAGACTGAGGAAAGCATTTAAGTTCGGTATGGAAGAAAAAACGAGACGAGCTCTGACAATGTCACTAGTTGTACAGATTGAGGCACGAGATTCGTCGGCGAGCTACACAGAAATGGAGTATTCAAAATTTTAAACCGAGTTATCAAATCAAAACGAAATTAAAACAAATTTATTCGTAACATCAGTGGCATATATCTATATGAAAAGATTATTCATTGTCATTTATGGACAATCTAAATTATGTCCAGAAGAATATGACATACGTCCAGCAAGAGATGAAAAGATGGGGGAAAACGTATCAAGCCTATGAGGTTGCAGGGTTTTCAGAAGACTTAGAAGAAATGAACAATTTAGACGACTCCTAGGAAGCAAAAAAATAAGAATCATAATCAATAAATGAAATACAATACAATACTATTGATGAAAATGTATTTTCAATGAGTTGTTGGAATAAACATACATTCATATACAGTGTGTAAAAACCAAATGGAATAAATTCATTATTTCGGTTACGGTACCTATTTTAACAAAATCCTGAAACACATCAAATTTAAATTATAATTTGACATACTTCAATGGAAAAATGCTACCCGTACCTTCAAACCCCGTTGAATGACAGGTACAATCCCCAATTTTTCAAATGGCAACTATAAGCTTGTGATATATTGTTTGAAAGGTCTCTTCATTATCAATTCAAACATTTTATCGCTTTTAAGTTTATTGCAACAAGACAAGATAATAAATTAAAATCATGTGGTTACCGAAATTCGATAAAATACACTCAAAACTTATTTCATTTTGAGGTATTGATATTGAGAAAGTAAGCAAAAACCATAGCAATGACCTTTTTAGATGGTATCCTTTAAAAAAATTTACATAATTTCCGTGACAACGTTAGTTCAAAACGCCTTGCCAACTAGTTTTGTATGTTACATTAGTTGTGAGTATTTTAATTCAAGTTTAAAGTTAGTTAACTTCAAGTCTGACGAATGGTTAGATTAACAGAAATACATAAAAAATGCATCCCTATAAAATGAAACCTACTCAGGAGCTCATGGAAGACGATTTTGTACTTTGAAGACGTTATGTACTTTGTCTCTTAACGGTCATGCTAATGGACAAAATTGCCGCTACTGGTAAACGCAAAATCCTCACTGGATGAGAGAAAAACACACGCAATACCCTCAAAAGGTTGATGTCTGGGCAGGAAGTGTAGGAAACCATATCATTGGTCTCTTTTTCATTGAGAGCAACTTGAATGGCGGTAATTATTTTGCACTACTTCAAAATGATGTCAGGAAACCCAGTTCCAGTGAATACGATATGGTTTCAGTAGGATGGAGCACCAACACATTACTAAGTTAATGTCCGGCAATAACTCGATACATTTCCAAATCGGTGGATAGGGAGGCGATGATCGATTGAATGGCCAGCGCGATCACCAGATCTTTCGTCATCAAATTTCTTTCTATGGGGATATGTAAGGAGCAATGTGTACAAAACTAAACCTTCAGATTTGAATGACTTAGAACTAATAACGCTTGCGATTAGGTCGGTCAGGCCCGATATGTTAAATAATGTTAGAAGACAGTTTTATTTGAGATTAGAATGTTGCCAAGACGTTCGCGGTGAATATTTTGAACATCTACTTCGTTGACATCAATAGTTCTTTTACGTATTCTACATTTCATTACGTTTTGCATTACATTTTAGTTTTTGAGTGTATTTTATCGAATTTCGGTAACCACATGATTTTAATTTATTTTATCTTTATTGTAGCAATTAACTTGAAAGCGAAAACATTTTTGAATAGAGAATGAAGATACCTTTCAAATGATATATCACAAACCTATACTTCCTATTTAAAAAACTGGGGGTTGTACCTGTCATTCGTAAGGGGTTGAAGGTGGGGGTGGCATTTTTACGTTGAAGAATGTCAAATTATTATTTACCGAAATAATTAAATTACTCCTTTTGGCTTTCATACAGTGTGTTTATGGGTACGTGCAAACATTCATAGGTATACATTTTTGCACTCATAATATCTAGGTTCAAACGTCATATCTAGACATTCATACTGATGCAGGGTAGACAAAATAAGTACAGCAAATATGTGAGCCTATCAAAACAAGCAATTCCATACAAAAAATATTTGCTGATACTTCACCTTCACCTCAATAGGAAAAAATTTTTTTGACTCAATTTTCTAGATAAAGAATAAATGATGAAGAATAATTGTAACATTGCATTGAATAAAAGGAAGTTAGGAACCGTACGTTAAAAGATAAGACCCCGTTAATCCTTAGCACGCACAAGTTTCAATTTCTGAGGGTTGTCTTTCGTGAGAAGGCGACATCTATTTAACGAAAAAAAGATTTTCAACAGATCTGAAATGAGCATCTTGAAAATTTGGATGGTTTCTCGACCATGAGTATTCGAATGTGTTGTAATTATACTACTGTAGTGAATTTAAATATATGTGAGCCACAATAAACCCTCGTGGGTCGAACAGACCCATTCACTTTGGACCTACTTAGCTACACACCTGTATTTTAGAATTCTATAATGAACGTTCAATCGTCACAAGTTTTTAAACGCTTTTTGACGCTTTTATACGTTTTTTAGACGGTTTTGAACGTTTTCTAAATAATTTTAGACGCTTTTCGCCGTTTTCTAGACTTTTTTGACGTATAAACCGACGTATAATGTTGGTTCGCGATCTTTATGTTTGAATGACCTCTAACGGTACAAAAGTATCTAGAAAGAAGATTCGTAGGAGAAAGCATTTGATTTTGTTGACGAAAAGGTGGTGCATATTTACTTAGATATGATTACATATTAAAATTGAAACCCCAATACAAAAATTATTGTGTTATTTGAAATTTTTCACCACACGTCCGTCTTTGAGTTACAATCATTAGGATATAATGAAAAATACGATGACATCGATAAAGATATGAACTCACCAGTGCCGCAGGAGCATTATTGGTAGAAACAACCTTTGGAGTTGTTGCAGGCTGAGCCACAACAGGAACAGGTATGCCGCCCTTCAAGGGGGGCGGTGACGTTCTTTCAAGCGGAATCCGATTCCTTAGCGTTGCTATATCAGCACCCAGGTTCCGTAGCCGCTGCTGAAAATGAACGGCTTCATTTGTAGATGCATCTGAAACAAATGAGGGATGATTGAAGTTGAGATTCAATACAAACACGTGAATATTCACAATGACATTGGAAAAATCAAATATTCTTTATGTACAATATTTTATATACGAGCATATCAAAGTATATCAAGATTTGTCGATATTATTTAATATAACAAAACACCGTGACCCGTTATGGCCACAGTATCTGATGTTTGTGACATATCTAACGGTACAGGCTCAGTACTCGGACCTACCCCATTTCTACTCTATATCGACGACTTGACTACCATCGATATAGAGGGTAAATTTACTTTATTCGCCGACGACACTACAATATTATAGCGCATAACCAACAGAAATGATCTATACAATGCCATTTGCTCTGATATTTACAAACTGCAGAAAACGTCATTAAGATTTCTCTGTAGAGCCAGGCGGCGAGATTCTTGTAGGCCTTTGCTTATAGCAAACAAAATATTATCACTGTATGCTCTATTCATTTTAGAAACAGTTTCTTTAGTGCATAAACATAAAATAGAACTTCCCTCAATTGTTTCTCATTATTGTCTCTCTATATTGTATAATGGTCTCAAGATGTATAATCCTCTTTCTAATTACCTGAAATGCCTAGTAAACTGTACTGAATTTCGAAAATCAACAAATGATTTTCTTATCGAGAGGCTCCATTATAGTTTGCAAGAATTTTATGACGATACCTTTTAATTATATTTTATACACTTGAATTGAAGGGGTTATATTTTTAGGAGTGATTAATTTTTGGGAAAGAAAGTTTTTGGCTTTCTACTACTCCATCTCGATACAAAAAAATGAGAGAATCTTCCAAAGAAAGGAAGGAAGTAATCAATTTGAAAATTTCCAAACTATCATCAAAATATCAACTTTTCATGAATTGAGAGTACTGATGTACTTAATTTCAATTAAGGCTATGTTTTGGACCATATTTAGCACAATTTATTTTTTATCTCGAAAACAGATAGAGATAGGTATAGGACATTATCAACAAAAAAGTATTTAAATACAGAAGCGATTCCAAAAATGTATTAATATATGGGGTGTTTCATTTGAAAAAATGAAGTTGCTAGGACTTTTTGATGGAAGTGGCAACGCCACAATGCTGAAAATATTTTAGATCGATAGAACAGATAAGGAAATGTGAGAGGTGGAATTTTCAGAAAAATCATGCTCTGCGTTTTCCAGAAACGTCTAACCTACCATCGACCGTGAGTCACGCTGTATATTCATATAGATATGTTATTTTGTTCATATTTGTTCATATTGCATTCATATTGTAATCCAATGTTTTTCAGAAAATGCGACTTTCAAAATTTTTATTTTTATACTCATGGTAGGACTCTTCATATTTGTTCATATTGCATTCATATTGTAATCCAATGTTTTTCAGAAAATGCGACTTTCAAAATTTTTATTTTTATTTTCATGGTAGGACTCTAGATATTTTTATCAATCTACTAGCTTATAGTCTGATTTCATGCACTTGACTATGTTTTTTTCTCAAAGAAAACAATGTTAACCAAAGCTTTGTCAATAAGAGTATTATTATTATTATAATCCGGCCGACCTGTGACGTCAACAACCTCTGAGAAAGTGTTTTTAAGTGACGTAAAATATGTTGAATTCAAAGTGATAAATGTGAGAAATGAAAAATAGGAGGATTATATTGGTAACAAACAGACTAAGGCTTGAATCTGTAACTTGAAGTAACATCAAATATAGTTATCATTTCGGATCTGTTAACCACATTTTAGGTGCATCAAAAACCTTTTTCATACATAGTGAACAAATTAAAAAAACTATTCAATATCAGATTTGCCTAACTGTTATATCAATCCACCGTATATTCTTATAAATCTCAACGCAAATTCAGCGCCTTCAAATTATAATTATTGTGGAACGTGCACGTATTCATAATAATTTGGCCTCCAGACATATGTATATTCGAGCTTACACTTCGAGTGGACAAAACACGTGTCTCAGTATTGATAATGAATGGAGAAAATAGAAGAATTTATCTGTTTGTTTATCCATACACTGTTCTTACTATTACGTGGATTGTTCAAAAAATTAAGTGAATGTTCACATATCGCTGACTATGGACATTCGATTAGCGTTTTTTAAACTTTGAAGATATACTTCTTTTGGCGCGTTAGGGAAAAACGTCACCCAAAACCTACACCCTGAAGTCAGCTTCTTCTTCTTCAATTTATATGGTCGTTGCCTCTCAGTCGAGCGCATATGGCCAGACTTCTCCTATCTATAGTGAACAGAACCTTCGTCCGAGGGCGCAGCTGGCTTGCTCAAGGCAATGCTGCCACCCTAACTTTTTCTTTTACGAAAACACTCAATTTTTTTACTAGGGGGCCACCAGTCCCCTCAATATGACTTTTACGAATAACACATCTATTATCGTACTGACGACCTCGTCGAATCCGTCGACATCCAGCCTGGCTACTGGCGTAGGGGGCCGACAAAATGTAACTTTAATATTTATTCGAACTTGACTTTATTTTTTAAGAAACACTTCACTTTTGGACTCTACTCCGACCACGACATCCACGTGTCATTTTTGAGGACGGTCGTTATCGGCTATGTGTAGCTATCCTAGGTCATTAACTTTGAATCTCGTTGAAAGCATTGGACTTCTATCTTTACCACCTTATAAAATTTTCTGTGGAAAATAATTCGCACAGTTTCAATGTCAATCAGACACAAATGGATATTTTCGTCCTCAAAAAATATCTGCATGTGACCTATTCGTGGACAAACTGGCATTGAACTGGAACTTTCTGACATTTCCTTTCAATGCTTTTCAACACTCTCATTGTCAATATTCTATTCAGATGAAACGAAAATTTCCGTTCCAAAATCCAAGACAATTAGTTCATGTAACTCGGCTAGATATAGCTATCCCACTGCATAACTGAATGAAGTTATTACATAACTTGACAACGGCAATAATAATTGTACGAATGAAAAAAACATTATAGTTCAATTTACCTGATATACGGTACAAATTACAAAATACCAGTTCTCGATATGGGTTCTCGGAATGTAAAGCCGCTGAAGTTCAGCGGCGGATACCGGGACAAATTTTAAGGGTTGTAATAATTTATTTTGATTAGTTCCTTCAAACCAATAAAATGATGAAACTATCGAAGCCTAGGCCATCAAAACAAAATTTTACAGCGAAAAAAACGCTTCTTCCCAACAGCTTCAGAAACTGATCTAGATATCATTATTCTTTTAATCAGACGTGACTCTCAGGGACTAGTTATGCGTCATTCTCACAATTTCAATCACTGTCACTGTCCTAATCGAATTAAACCAATGGTGGTGTCAGTGCAGGATTCTTCACTGAAGTTATTCCTGCGTATTATTCCTGTGATTTTGAATTATTGGAACACACTTGCAGACCGGTTTCAGGCTGTTTGGCCACTCGTCATTGCAAGGTGGTATCTATCATCAAGATAAAGTCGATGATTTCCGTTAATTGAAAATTGAATTCCTTCAGAGTATCATTTCTTGAACTAGGCTGAAGTGGACAACAAGCAACATGTTTGTCATCGCTACATCTGCCTGTGAACGAGGTAGCCAACCGCATATCCGAAATTTGATTTATAGCCAGTCTTCAAGTATGCCCACTGACTATGTGTGAAAAAAAACTGTTGAAGACAAGACTTGACTTGATAAATATTATTCGGACTTTACACCAGGAAAATCAACCGTTGAGAAGTGGTTTGCTAAGATTAAACGAGGTGAAATGAGTACCGAGGATGATGCACGTATTGGACGCCCCGAAGAGTCGTTACCGACGAAAACATAAAAGTCCACAAAATAATTTTGGATGACGTCAACGTGAAGTTGATCGAGATAGCTGTGGCTCTAAAGATATCAAAGAAACGTGTTGGACATGTCGTGCATGAATATTTGGATATGCGAGAACTCTGTTCAAAGTGGGTGATGCGCGAACTCACAATTGACCAAAAATAACTACGAATTGATGATTCTGAGCAGTATTGGAAGCTGTTCCACCATAAAAAACCCGAATTTAGGCGTCTATATGTGATACTGAATGAACAGGGCCATGTTTGATTCATTGATGGAGCCACATCATTTCACACCAGAATCCAAACGATCGTCATCTGAATGGACTGCACATGGTGAACAGACTCCGAAGCGTAGTATCAGTATTTTGGTATGAGCATGGTATAATTAATATACATCGAATATATTGAAAAAGAAAAACCTCCAACAGCGACTATCACATAGCGTCATTGAAGCATTTGAAGGACGACCCATTTGAAGAAAAAGGAAGTGCTGTTTTAACAAGATAATGCACCGTGTGACGAATCAATGAAAACTACGACAAAATTGCATGAATTGTGTTTCGAATTGCGTCCGCATCCCCCGTATTCTCCAGATCTGACCCCCAGCGAATTTTTTCTGTTCTCAGACCTCGAGAGAATGCTGACTGGAAAAACCGAGGCTTATTTTGAGGCTAAAGAAGAATCGTACTATAAAAATGGTATCGAAAAATTGTATGACCGCTATAATCGTTGTATCGCCCTAGAAGGCAACTATATTGAAAAAAATATCATCAAACATTTTTCTTCCATGTTAGCCTACGAACTTTCCTGCCCAACCGTTTCACGCAACTTCTTTCAACTTTCTCTTGAACCAGCCTTCCTCACTGTGGATGATTTCAGCTCCAGGGTGTTTTTCTTGTACTCGCCAAGGCGGAATTACAAGAGCCTCTTGGTTTCATCGATATAGGACTTGTCGCACTCAAATGATATTCGTTGAATGCAATGGAAATGGATAGAAAAAATAACATCCCTAATCATATACAATTTTTTCCATTTTGCCATAAGAAATATTGCCGTAACTGTATCCTATAACGATTTCAACAAAAATAGAAAACCAGTTTCGCTCATGGGATGCATTAATGAGGATTACATTTTAAAACTAATACGAGTGATCG